TTCCACTAGGAGGAATTTGTAAGATTTAGACGATATTTAGAAACTGCTTACATATATTTCGATGGAATTAAATTAACCTTCGGTCGTATAAGACTTACTTTAAAGTTCACTTTGCCTCATCCCCCACAAGATTTGATCATTCGGCCCGAACAGTAGGTGTGAACTAGCCTAAGCCTCATCAGCACCCCTATCGAAACTCGAAATCTCTCCGCAACCGGGCAGATGTGACTTTCTAGGCAAGCCAGACTTCTCCAAAATCACAATTTTTCAATTGTGTTGAAACATCCTCATATCCTGCATTTGAACATAGGGTTGCGACTTAGGCGGAGAGATTAGGGTGCACTCCTTGTTGATGGAGGAAAGAGATTGAGGAGGAAGGTTTAAAAGAGGAAATAAAGTGGAAGACCGACTATTTTTGCTTCCATGGGAAATGGGTTTATGTCAGTCAACAGTTGAGAAGGCAGTCTTTGCTGGCAGGAAGAGGGTTTGAAATACAGTGGCTGCTCAACATTACCAAAAATCTTTAAATGTGATCTCATCAGCTTCAACAATAATAGACATAGTCCGTTGAGATTGAGGCCACGGCCTACATTCAAGCTTGGATTAGTCGAACTTTTCATAATCCCTTCACTGCTGGGCAAGCCAGAGAATTGGTGCGTGAGTTTAAAGGTCCGAATTCCGTTGCGGTGTAGCGAAATTGGATCACAGCCCGGCCTTATCAGTGCCCTCGTGGCTGATTGCTCCGGAGAGGAATGGGGGATCAAATGATCGGACCGACGTTTAGACGGGACGGTTGATCTTGTTAAGTTGACTGGCAATTTTTCTAAGCATCGGCTGAAGCAAATTTTGCAAATAGCCTATCAGAGCTTAACAACACATTACCTCGTCTGTCCACAATATGTTACGTTGCAAAATAATGTCTCGTCTTTGCAACAATGTAGCACCAGTACCTAAGGCACATTCATCCCTATCTGGTATCAGCTGAAAAACGAGGTTAAAGTGTGTTGTTAAATGTTGAGTTAGCCATAAAGAAAAGTTCAGTCTATCAAAATGCCTTTTCGGATACATATATGTTTGGACAATGCAAATTTCAGATGACTTTTAAATGTTAAAAGCCTTCTCAACAAAGAATTTAAATATGATTCAGTCATTGCATTCTTTGATACCAAGTGAACGTAGAAACCTGAGACATGATCCAGGAAAGATTTGAGCATTAAGAGGAATGTTTGAATTCTACACCCAAAGGAGTTATTTAGACAGAAAATTTGCGGTCGAATATGAAATTTAAAAAACAATTTCCAAATGGTCGCCCCGCAGAATTGTTTTGACATTTGTTTATCGGATGACACATGTAAAGTTCGAGTTTTAGAACAAAAAGGTGTGAATTTCTAAACCACGATTGACTAAATAGTCAATTGTCTAGTCGGTAACATAATTGATCGAAAAATTGATTGTCGGAATGTTTAACTAAATTAAACGCATATACAATTTTCATTTTTAAAAATTAGGATTCAGTGATGACCAGTGGATCACCATATTTCTTACTCAAAATAATAAAATGACGGAGAAAGCGACAGAGTAAATAACTAGGCGCTATTCAACCTAGGTCGCATCAGCTGACGCATCAGGACTGCTAGTTGAATTTTCCCATATTTTAATGTGTATGCTTCAATTTTTGTTGAAATTCGCATCTATTTACCCCTGTCCTGCGACTATAAGCACACATGGCAGTGTGGCGTGACGGTAATGAGTCAAGCTAATTGGCTGCACTACCCGGGTTCGAGTTCCGTTGGGGTGGCGATGAGACCTAGACTAGTTCGAAATCCCAATCCCTTCTGTATCAGGATAACTTTATAGAAGCACACAAATTTTGCCTTATTTGCAATCCCACTATACTATGGGATTTTGGAGAGGCAGCAACCGTGGCTGTTTAGCTTAGTGCTAAGCTGGCCTTGATGATGCTCACGACACGATATCGGATTCACCCTGATTAACGTTCATCTATTCCTATTTCTTTTCTTTACACGACATGGGGTAATTAAGTTCTCCAGCAAGAAATGCTGATAGCGTCGAGTGTTACATCGAAACTGTTAGTTTATTGACGGTGATACTGGCTGGCAGATCTGAGTCTCACCTACTCACTCCTCGAACCTGAGATGTGTTCAATTAACACTTCATTCCACCAGGAGGCCCTACTCTTACCGAATGATGTGACAAATTGTGGACTCAACCGAGTAGGCCATACCGGGTGACCAGTTGACGCCCACCTCCAGTTAGTGGTTCGGAATTGGGACTGGCGATTCGCGTAATCGCGGCCATAAACCCTATCTGCGCCACCAAATCTTGGGCCACTTTCAACCTGAACTTCCCCAATTCAGTGTGAAAGCC